ACCCATTAGTCCTGAAACTGCCAGGAACCGCTTGCGTGCCGAGATAATCATTGCGCGCCGACCTTATGTCGGGCCACCTCTGACACCACAGAGGCGGCAAGTGCGTCTTGACTGAATGCGCAGACATGGCCCGAATAGGTTTGGGATGCGTCAATGGAGGCGTGTGATGTTCACCGACGAGTCTAGATTCTGGCTGTATCGCTCAGACGGAAGAAAAAGGGTATATCGCAGACGCGATGAGCGTTTCGCCGATGCATGCGTGGTTGAACGCGATAGATTCGGTGGGGCTTCTGTAACGGTTTGGGGAGGCATCTCCCATGGAGTAAAATCCCCCTTAGTGGTCCTTGATCAAAACCGCAATGCCGTTCGATACAGAGACCAGATCCTCCAACCACATGTCCTTCCACTTCTCAGGCGTCAGAACCTAATTTTCCAGCAAGACAATGCTCGACCGCATGTTGCCAGAGTCAATTATTTTCTCACGGCAAACAACGTTCAGCCTCCGGAATGGCCCCCATATAGCCCCGACATGTCTCCTATTGAGCATCTGTGGGATGAGCTGGACAGGCGTATTAGGAAACGTCAAAAAAAACCAACTAACCGAGCCCAGTTGATTGCAGCATTAACACAAGAATGGAACAACATTCCCTTAAGGCGAATAAATGTTCTCATGAATTCAATGCATAGGAGAATCCGTGCAGGGATTCGTGCAAAATGTGCCCACACCAGGTACTGAAGTGTCATTTTGTTTTTCGCGGGTATCCCACTTTGAATAACTACTGATGACGCGAGTGACGTCACACAGACTTTTCTTCTACAGTATTGTAAGGAGTAGACTTGTCCCTTCATATTGATATAAAATTTTGTACAAATTTCCCAAAACATCATAGGCTATTGATTGCATAATTTAATTGTGCGTTTCTTTTTCTGTTCAGTATATGTAACGTCGGACATTCTGTAAATGAATCTATTAATATTAAGCCTTCAAGAAATGTCCAGCTTAACAGGCTGTTTGTTATGTTAGATAGTACGGAGCAAAATTAGAATTTTTAAATCGAATGGTATAATAGTATTAATCAAAGGACGTGTTCAATTTCGTTATGATAAGGTGAACTTTTTTAAATAATTAATTCATAATTACAGCAAGTTACATTTAATAAAATGGAAATTTAATACTATAGTCTTGTCTCAAACTTATTTATTCAACTACATACGAAAGCTGCAACATCTGAATTAAGATGACCTTACAATAACTCCACCTATAACGTGTGCTGATGGCCGCGGTGACCGAGTGGTTAAGGCTGACCGTCTACAATCACTAGCCCTCCAATACTGGGTCACGAGTTGGAGACCTACGTGGGGAAAACGCCAAGATCTGATCGCAGGTCCTTGGTTTTCCCCCGGGTACTCCAGTATTCCTCTACCACCGAAATTGGCTGGTCATTTGATGACCATAGCTATTATAGGACGTTAAGCACAAACGAACCAAAACAGGATGTTCTTGTTCTGCATCCCAACAAAAGTATGCTTCAGCGAACACGTTGTAACTGGCTCATAAAATGATCCAAAATGCAAAGCCACAAGAGTCTTTTCATAAAGACCAAAAATATCGAGAGACTCCCTCCATTACTTTGAATGTTATCATCAAGATATTGACGATTTTATGGAGGTCAACGCCGGACAATGGTCAAAAACCAGAGTCGGTTGAGATGAATTAACTATCACAGTGTGTTGAACCAATCAGATACATCTTTATCAAATGTCCGATGTCTAAACTGTACTAAACTATCGGCATGATGATTGCAGATGTGACTGCAAAAACAACATCTAATAACTTCATTATTGTCTGCAAATAACATTGCATTTTATGCATGCTTGCCAATCCAAGAAACCATACCTTATCATTTTTCATTTTTCGAAAGACGAAATATAAAATATTCACATTTCTTTATTGCAGTCTTTCCAAATACCAAATAATGATAAAGACACGGACATGTCTTGAATTCCGAAACTTCACAAGGATTCTTATAATAAAGGTCTTAGTACTGGCTTTGTTAGTTGTTAAACCATTATCCTAATCCCTCACTACCATTGTAAGCATAAGTCATTCTCCAGAATTGGAACTAATGGAATGGGGATTGCGGAGTATTGAACAGAACTTTTCATCAATCTTGAGAATCCTCTCTCAAAAAGTAGATGTTTGTTAAATTCCACTAGACCTTAAAGTTAAGGGTACCATCTAGCTAAACAATAGTGTTTACATTGTCACTATTGTGAACTATTTATTGAATTCTTTCAAACGTAATATGTCAAGAAAATAGCATGCTGCCAAGCATTTTACAGAATTATTGTTGTTATGAATTTGAATGGTTAAAAAATAAAAAATAAAATAAAAAAATACACAAATGCAGGGGTCGAACTCGGTACTAAACATTACAAAGCCTACAGTTTACAAATGTTGTCATACAATTATGAAAGCAGGACATAAAATAAGTATTTCGTTTATGGACCACATAGCATATATGAAACACTTCACAGGGGAAGTTACTCTAAGCCAGAAAAAATCTTCTTTAAGTTGCTTCATCTTCTATAAGGAAGGGAGAATACTCCAATTTAAAAACCGCAATTATAACTGATTCGATGGTACCCTTGAGTTTAAGTCAAAGAATATTGTTCATGAAGACTTTGTTCGGGCTATAACCTTGACAGAGAATTTGTTGCTTCGGGAAACATTTCTATGCAGTGGTAGACATTAAATGAAATAATTAAACACACGAGCTGCACAGAATAAGAAATTGAAAGACAACTTGGGACAATGATTGGTAAGACAGGAATTATTTGAACAGTTTATTAAAGCTAAACTGTATAACAAATAATACATAGATTTAACACCGGTTGTCAAAAGCAGGTGGCAAAGTGTTAAAATGTGGATTTAAAGTACAGGTAAAGGTCGTGTAGTAAGAGAGAAGAAACAGAAACAGTGGAGATAATATCTATTTTATGAGTTAACTATTTGCTACAACGGAATAACTCCCATGTCGAATCAATATTATAGATACTAAAAGCAGTTGTTTTCATTTAAGGTTCTTTAGATCAGACATACTGGAAACTGTAGTACCATGACGTTTATATGCTTCATCAGCCCTAGAACGAATATTCATACACACATGTACATTTGGATATTGTATAATGCCGTTGAGTAGTTATACATATATACAGTATGGCTCTATTTTATTGTCACTTACTCTCTTAAGTGGTGTTATAATCAATCATAATTATACAAACACAGTGCCATAGAATATCAAAATTTAATTTTCCACACAACACAATGTTCCTATTAAACGTGTCCCAACGTTGCAAGAGCGACTGGTCCGTTTGTTAAGCTATGACTGAGTTTATGATTGTGTTGAAAGTAAAACTTTGATATCACATATTTCATAACTGATGACTCTTATTGAATAAAATGTCACAAGCTTTAGGGATGTACAACAAAATGTGTAGTTTTAAGTGGCCATTGTCTGTACAACATAACAACGGGGTTTATGTAACGTATACTTTAAGTTATCATATACAGCTTTCAGAAATCATTGGTAGTGTATGCGAAATATAATGTATATTTTTAAGTTTAAAGTTAAGCTGTACAACATGATATACAAGGCAAAGTAGTGCATGACAATCCCCAGTCTGCCATTGGTAACAATGTTTTTATTTACCGAGCAGTACACCTATTTCAGATTAACGTACAGTAAATAAATTATCCTGAAACAACAATGGACAGTTGTTTTCCAATATTTGCCATCAGAAGTCAAAATAAACATCACAGTAACTTGCTTTTGAAACAGTACATTCTGTCATGTCAGGATATGCCTGCATTACACGGTTTCTCAGTGAGAAAAAGTAAAGAAGGTAAGCTTTGGGCAACCTTTAACAATGAATGAGGTCATATGCCAAAATATATATCGCGTCCTACCTTTCATAAACTGCATGCATTCAACTATCATAAGATATATCTCAGATACTATTTGGTTAATTACGGTGAAATAGTATAAACTATATGTCTTGGATAAGAGTTTCAAAAGGTAAGATAAAAGTCAAAGCATAGGTTACAGTGACCTACTTATTTGACTCTGCACGTAACCATCCCATAAAGTACTTGCATTACAAATCTGGTTACTCAGGAAGAAATAATGCAGTAAATATGTCCCGGACAAACTTTTCGGACGGACGGAATGCACCCCTAGTTTATCTACCCCCTCCAAACGTTGGAAGTGGTAAGGGACTAATAACTTCAATCAACTTGTATTTGTATGGCATCGTGTACCGTATAACTTAATTTAACCTAAGCTTAAACAGCGACATAAGGCATACAATGTAGTTTGAAGTAATTTGTGTTCGTATTACATAACGTATATAACTTTAAGTTGTTAAACTCGTGGACACATCTAACTAGAAATACTCAAACGTTTATTTCATTGGATTTTACATTATGATGGTGTCGGACAAAGATGACAATGCGTGAGTCTAATTCGATCCTTTATAATAATTTTAAGTGGTTTCTGTCAGTTGTTTATAACAATCGATTACTACAATTTTTGAATACGTCTATTTTAAGCAGTGATTGAATACGTATGTTTAATACCCCGTTAGGAATTATTTTTCAAATGAACGATGACTGACCTTCGTAGCGTTCCAGCTGTTGGCCCGGCGGCGCGTGAGCAACGACAATCTTTACTAGATGACTGATAGTTCACATAGAATGTTCTTGATTGTGGAAGAGTAAACAACGCTTCGTGCATTAAGATATTTATTTCATTTTACCAGTATCCTTGACTTTTTTTTAAGAAGTTAACAAACATTTAATGAGAGAAGCATTATTCAGAGCAGGACTTGGTATCGCCATGATAATAAATTAAGAAACCCCTAATTGTACAACGCAGTATGGGCCCTCTATATATAGGGTTGTTGCTACAAATGTGTCATAACTGTAAATAAATACGCTACAGGAGCGACTAAAGAGTTTCAGAGATATGGATAGAGTATTGTCAGTAAAATTAACCCGCTCTAACCCACGTGACACCGACAGCCAGGTATGTGACGGAAAGATGAAATACAAAATGAACATGTACATAAAGTTACAACTGATTTGCAATATCATTGCAATATATCTTCAAATTTGTTTCATAGGTTTATACAAACGGCAATGTTAAAAACATCTTCATCAGAACAAAGTAATTATCTATGGGTTTATATCCGGTTTTGTTTGTTTAATACTACCTGGCATTCAAGAAGCTTGGTGTCATATTCTGTTTCAGCTGCTTACTTTCCAAATATCCAAAGACAACAATTTTGAGGTAGGGCTATAGATTTGCAATCAGTATTTTATTATTAATGGAATGGGAATGTGTGAGAAGCGGTAAAAAAGAAAGTTAAATAATTTCGTATGATAGCGTTTGAGTTTTGTAATCCATTAATGTTTTAAGGATGAAATATTCATGTCTGTCTATTTTTTTGGATCCCTATCACAGGGGGAAATTCATTTTCCATTTAATAATACATGTATTAATACATACCGTCTTCCCTGTCAATCATACTAACTACCATGGTATACACAGTAATTTGTATAACGTACAAAGTGACCAAAGTTTCATACACATTAATTTCCCTGACATACATAGTATACTGACTATCCTGACATACTTTCATGCTATATATTATATATCTTCACACTTACTCTCATATCATACATTCGGATTATCTGGTCATATAACTGACCACAGTTTCATACATTTTGACTTTCGCTCGATACAAACTATAGCCATATTTTCATACCTTAACGTCCATCGGTTCATACCCACCGATTTATGTAACATGCATAATGACTGCCTTTTAACCATCTTAAAACGTGAAAACACCGGGATTCTGGTTTTTGTAATGTGGATTATATTCAGTCACCGAATTTCAATAAGAAGTTATGACGTCTTAACTTGAACGCACACCCAAAGAATATATGATGAACATGAGCACAAGTCAATTTACAAAACTGGCATTTTCGGTTCGAATTCCTAAAGATACACATTTCCGATTTCGTGTTTACAAATTTATGGAAAATTCTTTCAATTTCGTGATCTACAAATGTATATCTTCAATCCGATGTTGTTCTTAATTAAGTTTAACTTAAATTGCTTCTGAAATTTTTATCTAGATAAGTTGGCAATTTTTATTTTTGATGATTATAGTCATTGCCAGCATTTGTTGTAAGATATATTCATTGCTCTGTCTGATCTCCAGTTCTTCCTCAATAATTGTGAAATATTTAGGAATGCTTGTTTTATTCTAGAAAGTTTTGTAAACAGGTTCGCTTATCTATCAGTAAAATCTTTATCTCCCTTTATTCTTAAAAGACATGTTAGCCATCAAATACGTCGTTCACGATGCAATTAACGCTAATAATAAACAAAAACGTAAGTGACCAGTACATGTCCGTGTGGTGATATTAGTCTTAACTGTAATGTGGCAGAAGGGCAAGCATAACTCTATGTGTTCGTAATACACGAAGTATTTGTTCCAGGTTACTCTAGCCGACTCAGCTGACGTTGAAAACGGTATTTCAATGAGGTATTTCCGCAATCATATAATGAATTATCGGATAACACAATAGTAATGTTTTTAAATCAAATTTAGATGGTCATTCAGACGCGATGACCTTCAACAACATAATTCATTTAATATGTTTTTTATTCGATTTGTACTTCATGCAAATCATTTTGAGCATGTATGTTACTGCAAGCTCAGAAAATCTTTGCATTTATTAATATGGAAATCGTAAACTTGATAGATGGTTTGATTGTAATACATAGATATACCAAACTATCAAAAAATTAGTAATGTTTTTAAATCAAATTTAGATGGTCATTCAGACGCGATGACCTTCAACAACATAATTCATTTAATATGTTTTTTTATTCGATTTGTACTTTATGCAAATCATTTTGAGCATGTATGTTACTGCAGGCTCAGAAAATCTGTGCATTTATTAATATTGAATCGTAAACTTGATAGGTGGTTTGATTGAAATACATAGATATACCAAACTATCAAAAATTCCTGAATTAAATCCTTTGTCAACTTTATGTTTTTCAACAGGTCGAAATAGAGTGTTTAATACCTCGCAGTATAAAAACAGCTGACGACCACGTGGACAAAGGATGGGCGTGGCTGATAGTACTGGGGTGCTCTATTGGTCACATGCTGGCTATAATGATGATGTCAAGTTTCGGTTTATTTTTTGTGCCACTGATTGCGGAGTTTGATACAAATCTCGATGAGATAGCTATGGCGGGAAACATTATGTACGGTGCGACCTACATAACAGGTAAACAATCTTTAAAGTTTTGTTTTTGTAATTTTTATATTTGTTCAATTTACATAATCAATACAAAGTAACACTTTATACTTATAACCACACTAACACAAAGACTATTCACCATATACACATACACACACATTGCAATCACCGACTTATCACGTGTCAGCAATAATCATAATTATTCGTCATGACACAGGTGTAATGCATTCTCTATTTCTGTGCTAGTAAAGTATATTTATTTTCACTCTTACTAAGATATAAAATATGTACAGCTCGTAATCTCTCTCTCTCTCTCTCCTTCTCTTTCTCTCTCTATCTCTCTCTCATCCTCTCTTTAAACACATGTGTTACATGGTATACACAAACAAAAATAATAAAAAGGGAGGGGGGCGGGGGCTAGGGATATTTAAAAGTGTTCCTATCTCTTCAGTTTTGTGAAAATGAATGAATCCGAATCTCACAGGAGAAGTCATTTTTCAACTTTTTTGTATTTCTGCATTATCGTTTCATTTTTCATGTTTTGCTAGCAATATCTTATATGATTTAAGTTCGAATTGTATGTGATTCCTCAGACTGATGATATTTAGTTAACACTTTAAACATTTCTGTTTAAATATGTACTGTTTAGCGTAGCAAGAGATGGTTATCTATTTGCAGATCAATATTACAAGCTGTAAATACGCCAAAACTAAATTCCTGTTTGTCAAAATTTATATCAAAGTTACCAGTCTCTAGTAATTTGTGTAATTCTCCCAGAACGCCACTTTCTTTTACATAATCCGAAAATAAAATTAGATTGTCTCTGGAAGTATTTACAAAAAGGAGAAGTAAATTTTGTTTAATACCAATCGTGATTTAAATCGCAAATTTTTGTACAAATTTTTGTAAAACATTTTTGTTTCTATTAGAGTTTCTGCCTGTTCCACTGTTATCGTTCCAGCACTTTTTCGTTATCTTTGTAATACATGTAATATTACCTTTATAGTTTCGAGACTCTAGCCAAACAAAATTATTTACAGTTGTGGGATCGAACAACTTTGAATGATGTGCGGTGTGCGCACGGTGTGTTCTCGGACTGCGCACCATAATGAAAAACTGTGCTATTCTAGCCATTGGTTGATAAATATTCAGGAATGTTTTATGTTGGAAAATGAGATTTTTTTTTTTCAGAGGTGGAAGACGGCATGATTCTTCAACACATACACTCATAAGGTAAACACGATGTAAGGTAGTACTAGGTAATATATTTCCAACTTACATCTGTCAAACATTCAAGTTACATTAACACCATAGAAATATTTTTCCAAGCAGAATTTACTGATATTTAGTAATAACAAAACTACCACCAACGTCAATATACGAAGACAAAACCCAAAAACTATGACGATGAACTTACACAAACAAACAAATAAATACCTTTATGTAATAGATAAATACTTTTCACGAATGTTTTTTATCTGATAATAAACAATCAAAGATTATAGAAATGAACATACATAATGACTAACGTAAACATACTAATAAATATGTACTTGTCGATAAGACTGTGCCCTTTCCTCGCAACTTTATAAAAATACGGGCTAAAGTTACATGGAAATATTTTGTAAATCATCTTTTTGCATCTGAAATTGAAATTGCAGAACAAAATTAAAGATAAATTTACTTTAGATAATTGAAGGGTATTCTTAGTACAACTTAGATTTCTTTGCTTTCGACAATGAAAGAGCATCTCCTATAAAATTGAAAGTTCCTTTAATTAAGCTAAGAGAAGTGTATTCCTGAAGCAACTCAGATCCCTTAACTTTATACAGACCCCTATCACTGAAACGAAAAGTATTCAAGTAACAACCCTTTGGGAGGGTATTCCTAATAAAGTTAAAATCCTTATGCTTTTGGCAAAGGAAGGTAATAATAGACACCATTACCAATCAGCTATTATTTTCAAACATGATATCCGATATTTGTTTGTTCCTCGCCTTAGTGACTCTGGCAAGTCCTGTGTGTGATATGTTGGGTTGCCGTATCATCATGTATATTGGAGCCGTACTGCTAGCTGGGGCTTTCTTTATCGGCTATCTCCTCCTGAACATCTATACCTTTTTTGCTATTGGGGCTATAGCAGGTAAATATTATATATTTGTTTTGTCCGGTGTTTTTTTGTTGTTAATATAAGTAGTATTCCGTCCTTGCGTATTGCAGAGTTATCTTCTCTTGGGAACAGGTATTGATTGTTACGTCATTGGTCTGTGTGAGAAAATTACGTCGTTTTCTCAAATATTGATGACGTTATTCTCACAAACAAGTGATGTAACAATCAATACCTGCTCCCAAGAGAAGATAACTCTGCAATACGCAAAGACGGAATATGTCATGCTGACATCAATGTGGCAGGATCTTTTGTAAGTTGAGTGTTAAACGGTCCGGTCTTTAACGCAGATGGCCGGAGTTCAATTTCCAAAAATTTCGTAGCTTTGGATTCGAATTTCTAAAGAAAATAATTTGGTCATTCAAGGTGGATCACGAAATGTTTAAGGTGGATGTTTTGTTCGTTGCGCTGTAAGACTGTGGTACTAGGGAAAAATTGCCGGTAAAAGTACGGAACCGCCACAAAACAGAATTCACATCTCCAGTACACATTCCATGCTTACATGTAGCGCAGAATCAATTGTCTGGAACGGCAGCTTATGAAAAATCCTCAAATGTTATTGATAATCTATGTTCTTTAAAGCGCCTTGGACTAACTCATTCTAGCTAGATGGAACGTTGTACCAGATGTTGTACACTTAATATAAACTAGTTGATATCGAAGGAAATGTAAGTTATTACGTGATACATGGTTTAATATTTTATTTTATTGCAATTCATTGTTAACTTTTCAACATGTGAATGTATAATGTTTGGCATGGGCGTCAACTGATAAATATAGTTTTAGTATTTGATAACTGATCAAATAATTTAATAATGCTTCCCTTAATCTGCAGGTCTAGGAGGAGGCCTTTCTATAGCTTCCAGTCTTATGGCATTCAGAGGGTACTTCGAAAAGAAACGCCATATTGCCCTGGCGTTAATTTTTGTTGCTAACGGAACCGGAAGTGTAATAGGACCACCAATCACAACTTTCCTTTTGAATGAATTCGGACTCCGAGGAACATGTATGATGTTATCAGGCATTTACCTTCACGGTGCCATTGGCGGGGCGCTGCTTAGGCCGTTACCACCCAACCCTTTCCAAAAGGCTCCTCAACAAAAAGGTATAAAATGGAAACGGAAAAAATGGTATTTCTAAAGCACGCGTCATCTTATTAAGACATTAGTACGTTAGAAAAAGTATTGTTAAAGCATATTTAATCACATCATTCTAGTGTCTATGTACATTTTGGTTGGTTAGGACAAAGGTATCAATAGCAGAGACACACAAACAAAATTAAAAGGAAACGAATCATACATATATGTAAACCAAAGCAAGATACAGGAGACGAAACAGAATATTCCGGAGTGGTGAGTATTTCTTGAGGCGCATATGGCACCTGTCGTAGGAGTCCGAAGTAACTGACAATCTTCTTTTAATATGTTTGATTTGGCAGATACAGTCAGACATTCCCCCATATGGACCCTTTGAAACAAAATGTGCACCGGGTTTGGTGTGCTCTTTAGTTAATGCTTTCCTGTATACTGTTTACATACTTTCGATAACCGATTGGAATGGTAATTGCTGTATTTTTGCAGCTGAGACGTTAAAACATGTCGACAACGACGACTTTATAACTTTAAGGAAAATATATTTTCACAACAGGTTAGGATTGGTCGACCATTGTCACTAGTAGGTCGGTTGTCAAGTGACCGAAAATGAAGTACCCAAGTAGCAACACCACCAACAGCAAAATACTTATTGTTATTGTTATTTTACACTTGCGTGTAACCAGACATTGTAGAATAAAACTGACATTGGAATTATTATGAATATTTTACGATACTCAAAACCATTTAACATGCAGATCTAGTCAAACTAGAATAAAGCATATTGTTGGGGACATCTCGTTTCTATTGTGGGAAACCCGCATCATCTTGCAAGATTTCACGATTTCTTGGACCGACGAAAACCGAAACATTTCGAGGAAATAACCCCTGTTGCGGAAATCTGTAAAATGAAGATTTGACCTAATCGTTGTTGATAATAAAATCGCTGCAGTTTCAGAAATGAATATATAACATTTACATTCGTGTATGGAAAGTACATGGATATACAAGTACTCCTGAATATATGCAAAGTTTAATTGAAGTACGCACCAAACCCAGTGCGCATTGTTTTTCAAAGAAACCCTGTGGAGCTACCAACGACTCATCTATTTTTAGAATGGAGTCAGTTATTCCGAACTGTCAGTGTCTCCGTAAAATCAAGGAAAATACATGTATGTCACAAACTGTCTAAGAAACAGTCAAAACATATTGGATAATATGTGTCTTCTTAATTTAGGTACTGGTATCAGTTATGCATGTTGATTATGGCGTACAATGTTTGTACCTGTGTGCTGAAACTGCGGCGTATTTTGAATCTGTGTTGATGCTCTGGCATACACTTGGTCTAATTTACTCTGCGTTGATAGAACAACATATACAAATGTTAAATAATACCCAGTGCTCGTTTCATGCTTTTAGTTCAGTTTTCTACATGTATGATATCTCTATATACAAAGCACCACCATAAAGCCTGTTCTTGTTTGGGATAGACAGGTTTTCAAAAATCACGGTTTAACGGAAAGTACGTTATGTTTAGATAAAACTATTATTTCATACAGTAATACTTTCTTTAGATATTCCAATAAAATTATTTATAAAACAATATACGTAAATCATGTAAATAATATTCATATATTATCATGTGTATAACGATACTATTATGCAATAGCAGTTTGGTAAATATTTTATTGAAGGTAAAATAAATAATGAGATACATGTAACACAAATACATTTTATTGTTAAGTTGTGTGCATATGTTTCAGAGCGTACCGTCAGGCTGCTGTGTGCGGTAGTCCGAGCCTATGGGGTATACATAGACAAAGCGTTGTTAAGAAGTTTCCTATTCTACCTGTGTATTATATCCTCATACCTCTATGTCATTGGATTTGTGGTAACGTATTCTCGTCTACCCGACTATATGACAACGAACACATATTCCCTGGAAGAAGCGTCTACAGCCCTCCTCCTAGCCGGGGCGGCAAACACTTTGGGGAAAATGGTTGGAATGTTACTTGTTGACAAAAGGCCTAGTTTCACCCGCTACTTCTATATCTGTGCCTGCGTCCTCAGTGGGGGATCGCTCACATCTATTCCTTTATGCATGAATGTCTTCCACTTTTACGCAGCATCTGCAGGGTTCGGCTTTTTCTTTGGTAAGAATTGGGCTTGATTACAATGGAACCATTTTGTTCAAACCACATGAAGCAATTTTTATTGATAAAATTGCAGTACAAGGTCGTCGTTAATATGACAAACTTACAATACTGGGTTTCGAGAGATGCCAGTTAAAAATCCCTATGGGCAAATTTAATGTCGACATCATGATCTTAAAGTAAGTAAATATTCTATATTCTATATAAAGTTGTACGTTTTCAAGGGTTTCCATGTAAATCTTTTCGTTGCTCCTATTTTACCACCGGGTCATCTCTTTGGGGTTCAAATTACGATTTTGTTGACACTTCAGGATGCTGTTTTAATCGCATCATATTAATTGATTAACATAAAAGTTACAAGTACAATTAAAACTCTCAATAAGGAAACTTATTAATGATACATTAAACATTTTTTAACTTTTAATTTTCAGTTGCAGTTTTACAGTTGTAATCGATTTCATCAATATTCCTTTGTTTTAAAGGCAATATTCACTACCTTGGAAGCATGCTGTTTATTGAGTTTTTCGGACCAAGTAAATTGTCCGGATGTTTTGGAATGCTCTATTTGTCCTACACTGTTGCATCTTTTACGGGAAATCCTCTGGCAGGCAAGTTGTTTCTTAAATTGTAAGTCCTCGGGGAGTCGCGTTAGAAAGTCCTATAAGAAACATTCGGGGAGGCACGTTAGTTAGTCACATCGAAAGTCCCCGGGGAGCCAAGTTAGTAAGTCATATAAGAAATACTCGGGGAGTCGCGTTAGTTAGTCACATCGTAAGTCCTCGGGAAGGCACGTTAGTTAGTCACATCGAAAGTCCTCGGGGAGTCGTGTTAGTAAGTCCTATAAGAAACACTCGGGGAAGCACGTTAGTTAGTCATATAAGAAATACTCGGTGAGGTACGTTAGTTAGTCACAACGGAAGTTCTCTCATAAATACTTTTATAAAAAGTTATACTAAAATGCTCTTACCTGTATCCTTGTCAGATTGGTACGTCAGTTATTTAGTAGTTATGTACACAAATAATTCCTCTGGCAGGATACTATTAATTCATATTCGAAAAACACGGAAAGGTGAACTTTGTTATGCATGTAACTAATTTAGAAATACCATGGCAATCTTTGAGACGACAAAGGGTCCTATTGCACCTTAGCATAATATCCTATTACTCGGTTATATCTGATATTCTGCTCTGCAGAATAATTCTATTAGCATTTTTGCTAATCAGACCTTGCGAATTAGAAAGAACATTGTTTCAATATGACAACCGCTAAAATCAGAGGCTTACTGAAAACATCATTAACCTACATTATTGTTCAAAAGACACAGACAGAACAAATGTTAACTTCCATTATGATGCCTATTTATATTTTCACAATTAGCAGGTTAACAGAAATAATGAAAACTGTAGTTATGATGTTTACAAAAATAATGAAAATCTATCGTAGTGTGATGATGTAAAAAAATAAAATTCTTTCGAAGCTATCATGTTTCCAGAACAAATGGAAAATCTAATGAAGCTACAGTGTATAATGTTAACAAAAATAATGGACATCTACCGTAGTAAAAATGTTTACAGAAATAATGGACATCTACCGTAGTAATAATGTTAACAGAAATAATGGACATCTACCGTAGTAATAGTTTTTACAGAAATAATGAAATTCTTCTGTAGTTATCATGATCTCAGCAAAAATAAGGACATACTGTACGCAAGAATATTTACAGAAAATTGCCTGTGAAGAGAAACGTATTCAATGATACAGTTTCATATAAGTGGACTGTAGTTTATAGAAATAATAAAAATCTACAATTACTACATGTATACAGTTTACAGAAACTATGAAAATCTTCCTTAGTTACATGTATCATGCTGACAGAAATTTTGAGGATCTGCTGTACGCTAGAATACCTACAGAACGTTCCCTGTGAAGAGAAACGTATTTAATCATACAGTTTCATATTTATGAACTGTTGTTATAATATTTACAGAAATAATGAAAATCTATCGTATTTATGAACTTAAACAGAAATAATAAAAATCTGCCGTAGTTATGGTTTTTACAGCATCTGCCGTATTAACAACGTATAACGTTTACAGAAATAATAAAAAACCTACAGAAGGTATAATGTTTACCGAAATTATGAAAATCTTCTATAGTTGCATGTATCATGCTGACAGACATTTGAGGATCTGCTGTACGCTAGAATACCTACAGAACGTTCCCTGGGAAGAAAATCGTATTCAATAATATCTTTTGTACTGTTACAGGAATGGTCGCTGATAGGACGTCATTTGATGGCGCTGAATTCTTCTTCATCGGATCCTGTATCATAGCTGCCGGGTTCGTGTTGATTCCAAGTGTTTTTGTCACAACCAACAGATCAATCCTTCATACGAAAACGGAAACACCGACTTTGGAATCTCCATTCGGTCCTTCAGAAATCTCTGACATAGATCCTATGCCATATTCAAGAATAGGCCCATTGGAAATAACGGAAAGCATATCGTATAAAGCTGTGCTGTACGGTGCTATATCCCTACCAGCATAAATACGTCTCTAAACGAATTATATCAACGACGTATTCATTTATGTCTACGTATTAGAACATTGTTTTAATTTAAATGCGTGATAATTTAGCTCTCTTACAAGCAAGAGCTCTGTGCTGTTTTTATTTTAAATTTTATAGTCATATTTATGAAGTGCTTTTTAATTTTATAGTCATATTTATGAAATTCTTTTTAATTTTATCGTCATATTTATGAAGTGCTTTTTAATTTTAGTGAAAACCTCAAACATATGAACATCACTTAATAAAGTAAGCTTAGTCATACGCGCACACACCGCTCAAATAAGTGCATTTATAGTAAAAAGAAAGCTTGATGAAAGTAAATGTGGTAGGTTGTATAGAGTTAAATGTCCTACCAACAGCTAAGGTCATTTGAGGAGTGTCGCCAAGTGTGTTGCATAGGCTTGCATGTGCGTCAGTGTGCCAGAGGCAGGATAGGTTGTTGTAAATGCCTCCTTGTGATAGCATTGAACTGATGCGACGTTAGACATTAAATGTGATCTGGTAATACGTACCTCTTACTATGATATAAAGTCCAACAAACGAATTCAGGGACACATTAATTTTGCTGCGTTTCTTCTTCTTCTTCTTTTTCTTCTTCTTCTTCTTCTTTTTCTTCTTCTTCTTCTTCTTCTTCTTCTTCTTCTTCTTCTTCTTCTTCTTCTTCTTCTTCTTCTTCTTCTTTTTCTTCTTCTTCTTCTTCCGCCAAATGGTGTCTTGGCGTCTTCTGAAATCCAGATACTTATAAAATTTGCCATGACCATTGCTTAGCATGTGTAAATGTATGTAACGCATTTTATTTTCTGATCAGTCAATAAACATGACCGTCGTAGCTTCTGATTGCTTGTTATACACCAAGGTGATTTTGCTTAAACTTGCTTTCTGAAGCATCACTTGCGACTATAGGGGCAGTTTCGAGGACTTGTTGAAGGGTTCCAAATGCAATCGTTACACTTCAAACTGGTATATCTTCATTTGTTTGCCATTCTGATATCTATTGTATGAATTATAATTTTGTTCGTCGAGTTTACGTTTATTTATTATATAATTGGTAAATGTGGAAGTTCATATTCTAATAGAAGCAACTAATAGTATTCAAACAAACTCAGGTTTTTTTCATAGTATAAATAGCATTAATGATACAGATACACAAATAGTTGATTCACGATCTAGTCACATGATGATACCATTTGCATGATTATCTAACAATTACCGGTAGTTTTGTAGTTTATACTATTATTCTACTTTGTTGAACACCAGAATACAGAGTTATTACCATGTATAACGTTTTGCAATCAGGTTCGTGGACATGACAGGGCAGGAGTCGAAATTTGTCTTCCTTCATCGGTAGTGATTTGTACATTATACCTATCACACACAATGTATCATATACATAAGTGAATGTTGAACCAAAGTTTTAAACTACCTGTCGTAAGATTAATGCGTCAAATATGTCTTATTTGCGCATTTCGTATCCATATTTATAACTATACAGTGCTTACAAAATTCTCAAATCATCAACAATTTGTGATTATGACGATGTTGAGATTATTGGGCTGTTGGCTACTGTAACATTAAAACCTCCTTGAGGAGGCCACGCCAGTGTAATAGTCAGAGTCGAAATGTTAATGGTCAAAAGTTGTTTGATAGTGAGATTGAGGCCCGGACAGGGCGAGAGTCAATAGTTGTCGTCCTTCGTCAGTTGTAATTCTATGTTGCTGTTTTTATCAGTCAATTACTCCAATGTATTATCTTGTATAACTAAGGTTTTGTATTAAACGATGAGCGATTAGTACAAAGGTGTTATTTGTTTTAATAAGACAATAATTCATTGGGAAACAAGTAAATAATTATTTATAGAATAAGTAGCTAACTTACATGAGTACTAAATGATGTATGGAATTGCCTGATGTATGTGTGAATGATGTATGCAACCCCTCCTACGAGAGGCGACCATTTGTCCGGATGTTGATTGCATTGCTACTTATATCAAAAGACAGAGACAAATAAAATGATATAACTGATTTAATATCTTTTATTATCTGTACAACAAATAAAGGAAAAACGTGTTCTACCTTATAGTCATATAACACTGAAAATGTTATAGATGTACAAAGAAGGTTGAGTTATACACAATACAGTTGTGTACAGGTAGATCTCAAGTACTGTAACGGATTGTTTTGTAAAATTAAATGAAAAGAAAGCCCTGATTTTCAATTAATTGTCTAAAGCAATATAATACCGTTGCACTGCAACTTTGGCGCATGATTGACAACTATCACAACTAAGTCCATGGCACATTTCCGTAAATGGAAATATATTTTAAGATGAGAACTTGTAGGTCAAAATATTCCTTTTAGCCTTTTTGAAACAAAAAAAATCTGATATTAGAAAAAGGCAAAATTGTCATTCAAAATTATATTTCGAACATTTCTATTGTTTAATTATTACAATATAAAGCATTGCGTTATAAGATGCTTCTAAAGCGACTGTAAATATACATAAACCATTTGCTTTAAAATCAATAATGCGTCAAAAGGCGCTTCCATAGGTATTGCGAAATAGCGTCAAAACGCCTTATTAAAAGATGGTAAAGGTGTAAAATAGCTGTAAATGAGGATTGTGTCATTGTTTAAAAAATCTCTGATATTGGGATTGTTTAAACGCCTAAAAAGGCACATAGATGCCCTTACTAGAGATTGTGTAAATGACTCAAAAGCATCCTTACAATAGAACAATATTTAGGCGTCAAAACACTGTTTGAAGGCGTCACAAGGCGCGTATATGTAAACTTGATAAAGGAGTGAGATGACGCCGCTTACATGTAGACTCTGTAATGGTGAAAAAGGAGAAAATGATATTGATATTGAATTAATGTAAAAGCATGAAAAGGTGCTTACTCGCATTTTTTGGAAGACGTCAATAGACATTTACATGGACATTGTGAAACGACGTCATACCGGGCTAACATGGATATTGTGTAGAGGCGTACAATGGTGTTTACATGAAAAAAGTGTAAGTACGTCAAAACAGTATTAAGAAATCATAAATGGATAGGAGATTTTGTTCTAAACAAAAAACAATTACAAGTTATCTGCTGTAGTCAATATCTGTTTATATATTGGCATTATGGCTTTAAAGTGTTGGAAAAGTAATCTGGCTTGTAGGCGTAGTATCATGATGTCGCAACTTGGAAACATTTATTGATAATTTCGGTAGTTCGTGTCGTATGTTATTCCATCGCTCATTCAAGTGTAGCCGCACATTGTTATCAATTTGTACGAGATAATTATGAAATGGATTATTATGTTGTACACTGTAATTATGAAATGTCCTTTGTTAATATACGAAGAAGACTAGACTGAACAGCAATGGTGTGGTATAACGATGGTAACACTACATTGCTCGTGTCAAAAATGTAAAAAATGACACACGGAACTGAAAATTCTACTACGAAAAGTAAATATTTATAGTTTCTAGTCTCTGATGAGAGGTATTTCCCACCATATTTGGCCGACAAGACCTGTTTAACGGACACCGGTAAAGATAAAACAACTGGTTTCGTAAATCACCAACAAACATTCGCTGTGTCCGAAATTCCGCTGTGTCGTTATCATCATTGTAATAAGAATTTACATCTGAATTGAGATTTAAACATCACTACTGCATAGTAAGGGTTTATTTCTGTATCGTAAAGGTTTACTACTGTATCGAAAGTGTTTACTACTGTATCGTAAGGGTTTACTACTGTATCGTAAGGGTTTACTACTGTATCGTAAGAGTTTAATACTGTATCGTAAAGGTCTACTACTGTGTCGTAAGGGTCTACTACACTGTACTGTATCGTAAGGATTTACTACTGTATCGTAAAGGTTTACTACTCTATCGTAAGGGTTTACTACTGTAATACTAGGGTTTACTACTGTATCGTAAGGGTTTACTACTGTATCGTAAGGGTCTACTACTGTATCGTAAAAGTCTACTACTGTATCGTAAGGGTCTACTACTATATCGTAAGGGTTTACTACTGTATCGTAAGGGTTAACTACTGTATCGTAAGGGTTTACTACTGTAACGTAAGGGTCTACTACTGTATCGTAATGTTTGACTACTGTATCGTAAGGGTTAACTACTGTATCGTAAGGGTTTACTACTGTATCGTAAGAGTTTACTACTGTATCGTAAGGATTTACTACTGTATCGTAAGGGTTTACTACTGTATCGTAAGGGTTTATTACTGTATCGTAAGGGTCTACTACTGTATCGTAAGGGTTTATTACTGTATCGTAAGGGTCTACTACTGTATCGTAAGGGTTTATTACGGTATCGTAAGGGTCTACTACTGTATCGTAAGGGTTTATTACGGTATCGTAAGGGTCTACTACTGTATCGTAAGGGTTTATTACGGTATCGTAAGGGTCTACTACTGTATCGTAAGGGTTTATTACGGTATCGTAAGGGTCTACTACTGTATCGTAAGGGTCTACTACTGTATCGTTAGGGTCTACAACTGTATCGTAAAGGTTTACTACTGTATCGTAAGTGTTTACTACTGTATCGTAAAGGTTTACTTCTGTATCGTAAGGGTTTACTACACTGTACTGTATCGTAAGGGTCTACTACTGTATCGTAAGGGTTTACTACGGTATTGTAAGGGTTTACTACTGTTTCGTAAGGGTTTACTACTGTATCGTAAGGGTTTACTACTTTAACGTACGGGTTTACTACTGTAACGTAAGGGTCTACTACTGTAACGTAAGGGTTTACTACTGTTACGTAAGGGTTTACTTCTGTATCGTAAGGGTTCACTACTGTTACGTAAGGGTTTACTTCTGTATCGTAAGGGTTTACTACCGTATCGTAAGGGTTTATTACTGTATCGTAAGGGTCTACTACTATATCGTAAGGATTTACTACACTGTACTTTATCGTAAGGGTTTACTACTGTATCGTAAGGGTCTACTACTATATCGTAAGGGTATACTACTGTATCGTAAGGGTTTACTACTGTGTCGTAAGGGTTAACTACTGTATCGTGAAGGTCTACTACTGTATCATAAGGGTCTACTACCATATCGTTAGGGTATACCTCTGTATCGTAAGGGTTTACTACTGTATCGAAAGGGTTTACTACTGTATCGTAAAGGTTTACTTCTGTGTCGTAAGGGTTTACTACACTGTACTGTATCGTAAGGGTTTACTACTGTATCGTAAAGGTTTACTACTGTATCGTAAGGTTTTACTACTGTATCGTAAGGGTTTACTACTGTAACGTAAGGGTATACTACTGTATCGTAAGGGTCTACTACTGTATCGTAAAAGTCTACTACTGTATCGTAAGGGTCTACTACTATATCATAAGGTTTTACTACACTGTACTGTATCGTAAGGGTTTACTACTGTATCGTAAGGGTTTACTACTGTATCGTAAGGGTTTACTACTGTATCGTAAGGGGTTACTACTGTATCGTAAGGGTTTACTACTGTATCGTAAGGGTTTACTTCTGTATCGTAAGGGTTAACTACTGTTTCGTACTGGTTAACTACTGTATCGTAAAGGTTTACTACTGTATCGTAAAGGTTTACTATTGTAACGTAAGGGTTTACTACTGTATCGTAAGGGTTTACTACTGTATCGTAAGGA